GTTTTTTTCAATAGAATCAGGGAAAAAATCAACAGATTCTTTGAGAATGATTAGGGTTCAAGAAAGGGGAGGTAAAGGGGGAAAGGGGCTGAAACTGAGGCGTGGCGGTGATATGGATCACATAGAAATTTTTGTTACGCTTTGTTTGTATGTACACTTGGCTTGATGTACGTGGGCTTTTCTTCCTTTTGACAGGATCTTAATAAATGGTTGGCTGGCGGCAATTGTTTTGCTACTCTTCTTTCGGACCATGCAAATCCAACAATTATTTTATAGAGTATGTAATATAATAAATAAAATAAATATTTAATAATTCTTTTTATTTTACTTTATTATATTATATAATTATATATTCAATTATATAATATTGATTGATATGTACACAGATTGTTTTAAAGTTTATAAATCTTACTTTTTTATAGGGATCGATTAACGTTAATTACTTCACTTATTTTTAATTTGAAAAATTTATATTATATTATTATTTGTTCTTCATGTTAATTTGAAGTCGGAGAAACAACTTGTATTGGGTTGTCCTTGTAATGTCACATACCTGAAAGTAATGATGTTGACCATTAATTTTTATTTATCTTTTCAACATAAAACTAAACTTTCAACATATATGAAACAAATATAATAAAATATACATTATATAACTATAAGGTCATATCCAAGCTTATTGCACAAAGGCTTAAACCTTGTCTTTCCCTTTGCATTTCTGAAAACCAAGCTGCATTTGTGCCTAATAGGCAAATCATTGACAATGTTATTCTGGGACATGAGGTCATTCATTTTTTAAACAGACATAGATCAGGTCACATATCCTACATGGCCCTAAAACTTGATATGGAAAAGGCATTTGACAGAATAGAGTGGAAGAGTGTGAGTTTAATAATGCTGAAGCTTGGATTTTGCTCTACTTTTGTGAACTGGATTATTTCTTGCATTTCTTCTGCTTCTTTTTCTTTTAATGTTAATGGAGAGGTGTGTGGCTTTGTTACTCCTTCTAGAGGCATTAGACAAGGAGACCCTCTGTCCCCTTATGTCTTCATTCTTGTGTCTGAAATCTTCTCACATCTGATTAAACTGGAAACTCAAAATGATAATCTGCATGGTATCCAGCTTTCTTAAAATGGGCCAAAGCTCTCTCACTTGTTCTTTGCAGATGACACTCTCCTATTTGCCCATGCTAACCCCTCTCAAGCTCAATCCATTCTCAACATCTTGGCTGCATACCAATCAATAACTGGCCAAAAGGTTAACCTCTCTAAATCTTCTATTTTCTTCAGCAGAAACACTTCTCCTACCCTAAAATCTTCCATTTGCAACATCCTCCTTGGCATCAAACCTCAGAACTCTTCTAGATACCTTGGCCTCCCTCTTGGTATTGGCAACAACAAAATTGAAACCTTTTCATTCATAACAGCTACCATAGGAAAAAAGATTTTGAACTGGAAAAACAATTTTCTTTCTACTGCTGGAAAAGAAATTATAATTAAAGCAGTTCTTAATGCTCTCCCAGTATACTCAATGTCTTGCTTTCTTATCCCTAAAACTGTGTGTTCAAAGATTGCCAGCCTTTTTGCTGCCTTTTGGTGGAATACAGGTAATAATGATGGGAAAAAAATACACTGGAAATCCTGGAAGTTAATGACTCTGCCCAAAGAAGCAGGAGGTATTGGGTTCCATGATATTCAATTGCTGAACCAGGCCCTTATCACTAAACAATTGTGGAGATTGCTCACACAACCAAACCTACTGGTTAGCAAATGCTTGAAGGCTAAATACTTTCCTAATTCAATGTAAAGCAGAAGCAGACAGGATCTTGGATGTGGCACAGTTGGCTCAAAATTAGAGACTCTTTCAACATGGGACTGAGATTTGAGGTGAAGAATGGAGCAAAAATCAACATATATGAGCACCCATGGATCCCTGAGATGCCTAAATTCAAACCATTGAGTAGGCCACTACCAAATTCTGAAATTCAAAAAGTTAGTGACCTGATTGATGTCACTGGCAGACACTGGAATAGAAGTATCCTTCAAGAGCTGTTCACTGAACAAGAGCAAGCTGCCATACTCAAAATTGAAAGTCTCAACCCGGGAGAAGAGGACAAACTAGTGTGGCACTGTGGGAAACAAGGGAAACATTCAGTGGCTGCTTCATATGATTACTTGGTGAAGGAAAAGTGGAAACAACTGGATATAGCTGAATCAAGCAAAGGACAAGCAGAGAGGGAAAAGATGAGGAACAGGCTATGGAAACTGAAAATCAAAGGGAAGATTAAACATTTCCTCTGGAAATGTGTCAACAATATTCTGCCTATCAACACTTGCATAATTAAGAAAGGAGTGTCCATAGAAGCCAGATGCAAGGTCTGTGGGGAGGAACCAGAAACTGTTCATCACTTGTTCTTCTCTTGCACCAAAGCCACCAGGATATGGGAGCTTGCTCCAATTAAATGGGATGGCCTGGACAACCATGCAGACAGTTTCTCTCATTGGTGGACAAAAATGTGCTCCATACCTCACACAGTCATCAATGAAGCTAGAATTCAACTTACTGTTTACCTACTGTGGTGGATTTGGAAAGCTAGGAACATGTGGGAGTTTCAAAGAATCTGGAGATTAGAGCATGCAGTAGTGAATGTTGCAATTGAGGAATGGATGGAGTTTAATCAGTCTCAGAGTTTGTTTGAGTGTATTTTATGACTTTTAGATTTTTTCAGCTTTTTCTTTTGGTTGCATCTGTATTTGGTTAGCACTTTGTTTAGTGGCTGTTTCTGTGTGTGGTTTGTTGTAGATTGAACTAGACTAGGGCCGTGCCAGTGGTCTAGTTCCTTTTAGGTTGTGCTAGCCAGTTAAGATCATTTCCTTGGTTACGAAGCTTTGCATTTGCCAAGGATTTGTAATTAACTGTGAGTGTGGTTTTTCTAGGGCATGTATTTGTCCTTCTCTTTCAGCTTTGTAGTTGTGTATTGGGCTATTTAGCTCCCCTCTTGTACAAATATTTGGAGTATAAAATCTATCGTTTCGAAAAAATAAAAAAAAAACCATAGCTACGGCCTAAGACCATCTCCAGCCCTTATCTCTACTCTAGCGCGGACTTTACTCTACTCTAGAGTAGAGTTGAGCATTCATCTCCAGCTCTTATCTCTACATTTTACTCTACATTAAATATATTATTTTTTATTTATTTTTTATTTCAAATAAATTATTATATATGTATATTTAATATTATTTTTCAGTTTCTAGTTCGGGTTCCTCTAAATAAATGCTCGAAACTTCGAATACTCGATAAATGGCTCGAATGGCATCGTGCCAATAAGATCTACTCGCCCCAACTCGTTTCTCAGCAAACTGAAATCTCACGCGACCTTGCGGGGCCGACGTGAACGGATTTTTATTTATTTTACTAATATGCACCCTCAAATTATAACTTCTCAAAATAAATGATCGGGGCCTCGAAATACGAAATAAATACCACGAACGACTTCTCCTCTTCTCATGCTTTCTAGAAAGCACTCTCGCTAATACTCGATCCGCTAAACGAGGGCCGACGGGGCAGCCGAAGTTGCGACTTGAAATGAAGCTTATTTTGACCAAATTAAGAGAAAGTTGCAGCTGCAAATTGGTATATATGTATATTTAATATTATATAAAATGTTTATTACCCAAATAAATAAAAAATACAAAATTATTTAGCATAAAAAATACATTGTACAAAGTTACTTAACATAAAAATATATTTATTAATACATATTATACAAAAATTTATCATTAATATTACATAATAATAAAAAAAAAAAAAAAAAACTGGCGCAGATGAACAGTGGTGCGCCACAACTGGCGCAACACTGATCATGTATCTGATATAGCGTTGAATTGTAGCGTAGGACTGGAGCACAAAAAGTGCATTTTCACGCCAGAGTAGAGCTGCACTGGAGATGGCCTAAATAATCATCCAACCACATAGCTAGATTGGTTGAACAAAGGCTTCTAACCCTAGTTAGATTGAACCATTGTTAACACTTTTCAAGCAGGCCGATCAGAGATGACAGGTCGGGTAAGTAAGCAGGATGAGAGCTAGCCAAGCCACTCAGCTCGGTCGTAATGTAATCGACCTATTTGACCTTGACAGGTGCAAGGCAGTTTGGGTGCACACGAGCTTAATACTTGGGACACCTACTAACACTCACTAGGTCGACCTATACATGAAAGAACCTATGATTATGATGAGGTAATATAGTGTGAACATAGTTGGATATGGATAAGTGTGAACATAGTAAGATAAGAATAAATCTCGGGCAGTCCTTGGGCAGCAAGCCCATGCCTCCGGGTAGTCCTTGGGCAACAAGAAATCTTGGGCACCAAAACACATAATTAATTAGGCACCAAGGTACTCACCTTAAATTTGAAAAGGTGGATAAGGGGCGGTTCTGCCCCTTGGTAGAGGATAAGACGTGCGACAAGTGCGTTTTAGACTAAGCATTAAATGAGGAGAGAGAAAACGAATATTGGGACAAAAACTGCTAGACGACACGACTTTTCAGAAACAAAAGGACACATGTGACATTTAGATGTATTGACTCATGCCGTCTCATGCG